GCAGAGCAGAGAAGAGAAGAGAAGAGAAGAGAAGAGAAGAGAAGAGAAGAGAAGAGAAGAGAAGAGAAGAGAAGAGAAAAAGAGAGAAGACTGAGTGTAGTGGTGCATCCCTGTAATCCCAGCACTTGGGAGGTTGAGGTAAAAAGATCACCTTGAGTTTGAGGCCAGACCAGACTAAGATCCTGACTCCAAAAGAGTCCTCAGGGATGGGCTGTTCCCTACCAAAGTACTTACAGGTCCTCATCATTCAGCCACCTAACAGCTGTGCCCAACTTTGTGTCCTAGAGTGCCGATGGCCAACTTCAAGGGCCACGCTCTCCCAGGGAGTTTCTTCTTGATATTCGGTCTGTGGTGGTCAGTGAAATACCCGCTGAAGTATTTCCAGCAAAGAGGGAAGAACAACAGGCTGAACCATCTTCAGCAGCGTCTTGAGCTCATTGAAGCCACACTCAAGATTTTGTTTTCTTTCATTGGTAAGCACAGGGTCTTTGGATCCAGAGAACCTTCCCATCAAACCCAGAAACTAATTCGTTGCCTGAACCCCATGAAATAAATGAATTAAAGATTCTGGTTTCCCTCAGAGCATTTTGGGCAACCTTCTGCCTTCTCACAGAAGTGGTACAAGTAGAAGGGACAAGAACTGAGAGCTACCCCAGGGTGCCTCCCATTGTATACATTATGGCCAGAAACAGTACAGGCCTTCGCCCGGCTCACTCTGCCAGCCAGTCCACCATTCAGAGCTCACTGTCCAAGGAAGGGCACTCGCCGAAGTCTGCCCTGACAGGTTCCCTTGGGAGCTGCTCCCCTCCATTAGCCTGTACAGGCCCCTTCCATCAGCTGCCTCTTACTTGGTTTCTGCATTTAATCTAATTGTGTTTTCCTAGCATCTCTTTCACTGCTAGCTTGGCAGGGGAGCCCGAAGATGTATCTCAGCTACTCTCACCTGAGTGGTGATGCCTTGTTTTTATCTCTGCTGCTGGATAAACCCCCTAGGGAGCTGTGTGCACATGTGGTTGTGCCTCTATAGCTTTCCCTCCCCACCCCCCGCCCGTCCCCAATCCCCAAAGGACCAACAGAGATCATTCAGCAAATACATTTTCTATATTCAAATAGCTGCACCTGAGGTGTCAGTCTGCTGACTTGCGAGCGACCATCACCTCATTGGCTTGGTTCATGCCTTTGCCTTGTCTTTTGCTATCTCCTATTCATCTCCAGGTTAGTCTTCCCTCACCTTCTGCTCATTTCTCTCCAGGGATCCTGGCAGAGCAGTTTGTTCCTGATGGGCCCCATCTCCACCTCTACCATGAAAACCACTGGATGAAACTAATGAACTGGCAGCACAGTACCATGTACTTATTCTTTGGAGTGTCAGGAATCGTTGACATGCTGACCCTTCTGGTCACTCACATCCCCTTGGGGGTAGACAGACTGGTTCTGGCTGTGGCAGTATTCACTGAAGGTAACTTAGTGGAACAGATGGAGATGGGAGGAGCAACAGACACAATGTATGAAGATCAGGGTACAAAAGTCCAGAAATAAAACTAACACAATACCCTTCCCTGGCAAATCCAACTCTCAAGACTACCAGCTCCTGAACTGGCCTGGTCCTATGCTTTGGGTGGTCCAGACAACATACTCCGTAAGCAGCTCATGGAAGGGTGAGGCATGCAGGCCCTTCTCAAACACTATACAAGCCTCCCCTGCCCCTGCTTCCTGATGCCACCAAGGCATGTTCACGCGTGTACACACACCTGTGCATGGGTGTAGGTGCACACAAAACACCACAGAACTGGCTGAATGTTACACGGGGTGCAGCAGCCCTTTTGGAGCTCATATCCTAGAGGTTATTGTCCAACCTCCACAACAAATCTTAGGAGACCCACTGTACTAGTCAGCTTGCTGTCATTATAACAAAATACCTGCTAGAGACTATGAAGTCGAAATCCTACCATAGATTCTGTAGATACTCAAAAGTTACACACTTTGCTAGTCTTAACAGCCACAAAATCATAGGCATCTGTTTGTTGCCCTGTGATGTTACACAAACTCACCTTCTAAATGCTAAAGACCGTAGCCATGAGACAGGGATAGGAGAAATTTCAATCAAGGAAAAGCCCAAAATAAAAGTAGAAAAAAGCAAGTCTCTGATACGTGTCCTTGGTTCACTGCAGGTTTTCTCTTCTACTACCACGTTCATGACAGACCTCCGCTGGACCAACATATCCACTCACTCCTGCTGTTTTCTTTGTTTGGGGGAAGTATCAGTATAGCCTTAGAGGTGATCCTTCGGGACAATATTGTGCTGGAACTTTTCCGAACCAGTCTCCTCATTTTCCAGGGAACCTGGTTCTGGCAGGTAATTACACCAAGTCTACACACAACCTAGGTGGATGGGCCCCTTTGAGCATGCCCAAGAAGTCCCCAGGGTGACATGATGTCTAAAAATGCAGGCATGGGAATGGGTTGAGATGGCCCTCCTCCTGTTCACCTCTCTAACTTTCTCAATTAATGTCCTGCTGGTGCATTAACAAGAACCTGTGTGCACCACACGGCAGGCACCACTTCCTGTATGGGACCAACTTAGTAAACTGCCCACATGGAATACAGGTCCTGAGGTGCTGCTGTGTGATTTCATTCAGAGTACTGTCATATGTAAGGGGGTGAGCAGCATCCAGGCCACTCTTCTGGCCATGGAAGAAGCCTGGGTTGCTGCTTAGCACAACTAACCAACATCCCCATCTAACCCACCAGATTGGATTTGTGCTCTTCCCACCTTTTGGGACACCTGAATGGGACCAGCATGACCATGCCAACATCATGTTCATCACCATGTGCTACTGCTGGCACTACCTGGTCGCCCTCTGCATTGTGGCCATCAACTACTCTCTTGTTTACTGGTATGGTTACGTGAAGCTGCCTCTCAAGTTTTCTGTACCAACAAACTCCTCCAAATTGCAATCAATGTCCATGTTTAATGTGCTAATTACATATCTAGTTTTGTACAAGACCCTCTACAGCTGCAGCGTACTTACTACATGTCTTATTTGCAAGTGCAGGTAATGGGGCTTGGTGCAGTTAAATGAGTCTGGGTCAACTTTTAAACTTGCAGTGAAACTGGGGAAAAACTGAGTGGGAATTGGTACCACGCTAGGACCCTGCATGTCACTGTGTCCTGGGCCCATTACCAACGTCTGGACTTGCCTTGCCCTCTCCTCAGAAACCTGCCTATTAAAGACAGCCACAGCAGAAGGGCTCTAACAAGTGCTTGTCAGCAGAGTGGAGAATAAAACTGTTACCTCCTATGTACGCACTGTGCTGGGTGCTGCAGAAAGCACTTAGCTCCTATTATCCCATTCCATCCTCACCATTTTATAATGTACTCTTCATTTTTTACAGCAGGGGAAACCAAGGTTTCAGAAGGCTGAGTAATTAACCCAGGTCACCAACTAGGAAATGGCAGCAGCATGCAGGGCAAGGGTCACTTTTAACACATGGAATTAGGGTGCTCCCGCCCCGGAGCTGCCTTTTTTCCCAGGTCCTTACTTCCCTAGACTTAGAGCAGACTCACCTCGCCTAGAAAGTCCTGCACAGACCAAACAGAACACACTAAGGCCATGGTTTCCCTCACTTCTAGTCAGTAAGACAGCAAACTAGATGGCAGCAGGCCTAAATTTAGTTTCAACTATTAAATATTCATCACTGAGTCCCTTTATTACCTAAAAATAAAACACTGTCTGAGAAGTCAGGTGTAAAGACCTACAATTACCAGTTAATACATACATGAAGATAAGGCTTTAAGGACCAACAGACAGTCCTTCAGTGAGGGAACAAGGAGACTTTTCTGGCTAATCTAATTGGTTCTTACAATTTATTACAGCATTTTGACCCGGGTAAACCGACATGGAGGAGGAGAAATAATTGGGATTCAGAAGCTGAAGTCCGATCACACTTACCAAACTGCCCTGCTGAGTGGCTCAGATGAGGAGTGAGATCAGGTGTGGGGAGATGGAGACCATCCACCCTGCTGAGCCTCATCGCTGCAGTGCAGGGCAGCTCCTGATTGCTCTGAGGCTGGCTCTGGACTGTTCCTACAGCACTGTGTATTTGTACCTCTTCATTTAATACAAAGTGGGAGGCTTTAACACATGAAATTGTGTATCTTGCTGCTTGGATTTTCCAATCATAATTTAAAGTCTGTGTTAGTGTAATACCTTTCATAAAGAGAAATGAAGTACTAGCTGTAAGCAGCAAGCCTGTGTGTCTCCATGTACAGAAAACAGACTGAAAATCTTGAACAGGAAGTGTCTTTCTGGAAGAAACAGGGTATAACTCCAACAGAACATCATGCTGCTTTTTGATAATTTGCCTCTCTCCAAGGAAACAGGTACTTTCTTACCAAAAAGATAGGTATGTGAATGACAGTGCCTTTGGCTTAGAACTGTAATTCTAACTGAAGTATTTTTTTAAAAACAAAAGTGATTCAAACTTTGGTATCATAAGGGTTGTTAAATATTGTCTAACTAGTCCTATCAGAACACTGTAGTTCCACTCTTCACAGGGTACAAAACTAGGCCAAAAGTTAAAATTTTTTTAAATCAGGAAGCTAGTGAGTAGCTGAACCGAGAGTGGAATCTGCCGTTCTGACTCTTCAAAGTTACCCTAATAAAGGAAGTACAGCAAGTAAGAGGAGAGACAAGAATCTGTATAATGATGTAAAAAAAAAAGTTATGGAAGGGCTTGCACTTTAACCCAGATGAAGCACTATGAATTCTGAATGAGTAATATAAGTTTTGATCTGGATCTGTTTTTCTTTTTAAGACTTCCTTCAACAGGTTATTTATTAAACATTCAATTTTCAGCAGCACTGAAGTGGTTGTAAGAATTAATCTAGTACATGTTCAGTATGGAGCTGAGAGACTACCAAAGACACACTTCCAGGCGGTTATAGCCAGCGACGCGCTCCGTGAGCAGTAAGCACACACCATGAGAGGAAGGGAGGGAGAGGAAAGAAGTCTGTACTTCCGAAAGGAAGGGCCCATTCCAGGAGCAGCGGACACTGCGACGAAAGCAAGAGAAGCATGACTAGATGTGAAGAATTAAATGTATTATGCTGTGGACAGAAATGAACAAAAGTGGGCCAGCACCACGTGGCAGGGTCTGAGAAACCAAAGAATGCCTTCCATATATACAGTGTTTTTCAGTTCAGAGACGCCCTCTGCCGCACCAGGTTCCCTCAGCAAGTTCTCATCGCTGTCTACACCGTCAGCACGCACAGCCCGTCAGAGGCTGGCGGGTCAGCTAGTCTAGAGGCCCACTGCTCCACGTGGCAAAGCCAGTCTCCAGTCTGACCTGACTGGCCAGTCTTTCCCACACTACTAGGAAGCACTTACTTACACAAGGCTCTGTACGTCCTCTAGAAGGAAAACTACTTAAGGAACAAGCAGCTGGGCTTCCACAGTTGAAGTCACATCTTAGGAGTTAAGCATGAGCTGCTAAAAGCATTAGCTTCAACTTCTGGGTCCCCTTTCAGTATCTAACTTGATTTGCCAGCTGAGCAGAAGTGCGAACATCCATGCAGGTAGTCCCGCAGGATCTACATTAACAGCTCACACAAAATGCACTCTTTCCTTAGGGACAGAGGAGGGAAGATGAACCTGTTCTCTGCCTTACTGTCATAGAGAAGATACACAAATGAGATTTTTTTTTTTTAAGGGCAAAATACTTTAAGGACATATATTCTCCAGAGTGAAAGACTGAAGTATAAAATACTAAGAAATTCTTTTGGTGCCCTTCATACAGCATGGTTTGGGATACCTTTAAGGAAGTGTCCAACCCTGGCATGAACACACTTAATGTGCTATTAAAGTAGCTACCAAATCCTGCCTTGGGCGTGTGGTCTGAAAAATTTTACCAACATCTGCAGAAGCCTAGACACTCAGCAGCTGCCACCAGCAACTCTGAAAGAATTGCTCCTGCAGAGCAGCCAGTGTACCTTGGAGCCTCGAGGTCTGCACACAGGCAGCTCGTGTGCACCAACACTGGTGCCCTCTCGGGGGCAATCCCCCAACTTGTCAGGGAGCAGCGCCACTCTGCGGGCCTAAAACAGCCCGCCCATGACATCCCCGCTCTGTAGGAGGCACGCGCTGGCAACACAAGCAGCCCAGCAGTGTGAAACCAAGGCAGAACTGAGGCGAATGCCAGACTGCCTTTTATAGGATCACTTGTTCACTAAATTCAGAAGGGGCTTGTTTTTAACTAGCAGTAATATCTGAGACAGGATATCTCAAATTTCTATTTTTTTCTTGTTTAGAAATAGTCACATGGCTTTTTATGTGAAATATGACTCCAGAATAACAATGGTGTGCAAGCCTCCTTTCCTCAGGTAAAAGGCCCATTCCCTCATTGCAGCCCCTTCTCTCACCCCTCCCAGGCTTACTCCTGAGCCGGACCTCTGCACCAATCAGGAGTTCACTCCTAGCCCATCACCCATGCTCTAAGTAATCCAGCTTTCCACCTCCCAGCCCGACACCCCTAAGCTCACTGCAGCACATCCTAGCCACTTCCCCTCATAAGGCAGCAGAAAGGAAACTTAGGTCAGAAAACTGGATTTTCATCTTGTTCTCTTCAACTCAGATTCACATCTTCAGTTAAAAAAAGAACAAGGACATCTATTTGACAGAATTTAAGACCTAAATGAAATGGTAAAACCACAGGGTCACCACCAAGTGCTAAGTGTCCTCTGCAACTTGCCAGGGCACCCAACTCCAGCCCAGCTACCATCTAAATCACCCATTTCCACTTACCTCCCCACCCGGACCCCACAAAAGATAGTCACTACAGTGCCATGGATTAAAGACAAAATTTTAATGATCTGGATACTTCAGAGATAGGGAAGTCCTGTCACTGTAGAAAAGTCTGCCCATCCACCTCTGCCCAACACTGTCATGGACCAGTGCTTTCTAAACTTAGAGGACTATTTAGACACTGTCCTGAGCTCTGCCTACAGCAGACACAGACTGAGAAGTGGACAGCTGGGAATAAATGACTTCAAACCCTGCCTGACCTCTTCTGAAGTGGGACTGCCAGGCAATACCTGACCTTGCACCTCACCTCCCCTCCTGCCAACCCCCCTCTGGAGCAGAAGTCAATAAGGTTTATTCTCAAAGGGCTACAAAAGAAACAATTTGGGTGTTAAGGACCATGCCGGTTCTACGGCATTCATTAATTTTGCCTTCTAAGTTGAAGGCAGCCATAGATACTATTTGAATGGATAAGGACAGACTGCTCCAAAAACATTTTTTGTTTATAAAAACTGGTGGCCTGCATACCAAAGTCCTAATTTGTGACTCCCCCTCTACCGAAAAACAGAATGTATACTTTCTGAATTACACAAAGCCTGCCATGAAAGTAGCACCCTGCTGTCATTCCCCTACATTCTGTCCGTGGCGCTGGACTTCATATGAATGACTTTGCCACAGACAACGCTGGCACATGGAAGTCAGAACCATGATTAGTCCCAACACCATCTTCCAGAGGCAGTGCTAACTAATCCTATTTCAGGGAGCCCACACTACCTTACTTCCTACACGTTTTCCCCATCTTACAGTCCTGCAATTACAAGTGGACATCAAGTTAGCCACCAACTTAACAAAATTCTTGCTAGTTTCTCATTCTGATCAAAAGAATAAGTTATCAGCTGAGAGAGGGCGGGACTGGCCAGGTTTCTATTTAACAAAGATATACTATAGGTTCTTTAAAAAAATAAGTTAGACAAAAATTTTCTGGACACAAATATCATACCAAGACCTTGAGTCATAAAGACCAGAAGATAAAAAATACAACTGTCACATCGAAGGAAGCTCGTTCACTGCAGGCTGATGTGTAACTGGTAAGCCTTCTCTATACTCAGGAGAGAACTTCGGCTTGTATGATGTAACGTTGCCTCCCACACCGCCGGAACCTTCCCTGGACTGGCACTTCCCCGGGAGCTGGCCCAAACTGGGACTCTACTTGGCGCTCAGAGGCAGAATCTAGGTGGCTCTCACCTCATCTTCCCACTGGCCTGCCTCATATGGACAAGCTCCAGGAAAGATGCAATCCCCTGCTCCCTTCCTTTCAGCCAGAACAGATCAAGTAAGCTCCCTCATGGAAGCCACTCTCACAGTCACTGCTGTTCTGGCGCCTGCTTAGGAGATGGCGCTGTGGTCACAACAACAGTGGAGACTGCTTTGGAGGAACCAGAAGCTGTGCCCTGCTGAAGATGAGAAGCAGGGACAGTCTGGATGCGCACCTGTTGGAAAGAGAGATGGTTTGGTTAGCAGACTGCAAGTGGGCTCAGCAGTCAGAAACAGGAAAGCAACAGAAACACCTGATCGGGCAGAGCTGCCTCAGCCTTACCTGTGTGGCCTGACCTTGTTGCTGAAGCTGCTGCAGCTGCTGAGCAGTGAGGAAGCTAACTGGTTTGTTGCCAGCAATGAGTTTGGTACCTGCCGGCATGGTCGTGAGAATGATATTGCGGCCCAAGCCACTGAGGCTGCAGAGGGAAAGCAGGTATCAGCAATAACCACGTTGCAGGATATTCTTCCAGCCCAGATCCAAAACATGCAGAGTCAACAGAGAGGTCTAGTGCCCCGAGAAAATTTCAGCCTCCTGGACTCAACTGGAGCCAGCACTGAGGCCACCTTCCTTCTAGCTTCTCCCTCCCACAGCAGCAGAAAACAAGCCCAGAAGCCCCCAGTGCAAAGCATAAAGCAGCCCTAGGCTCCACACCCTTACCAAGCAGCAGTAAGAAAGGTGTGCTCTTGGCAAGGTACCCTTGCCAGCTCAGCACAGCAGAGGGCACCTGTGGCCCAGCTCCTCCAGAGGCTGAAGCGGGAAGACTGCTTGAGCCTTGCTGTTCAGGGCCAGTCTAGGCAACACAATCAGATACCCTCTCTTCAAAAGAGAAGGAGCAGAGGCCAAGGACTTAGCTAAGTAGCATGGCGCCTGCCTGCTAAGTGCAAAGTCCTGAGTTCAATTCTGAGCACCTAAACAAAGAGCAAGAGCGCCCTCTCCAGTGGCCCCTTCACAAACCCTTCCTTGAGGCTGGCAAATAGTTTCATGTGCTCTTTATCCGTATTTAAGTCAGGACACAGGAAACTACCACCTGCCCAAGAGGAGCTTCCTCAGTCTGACCTGAGGCTCTCATGGCATCCAGCCCAGCACCTCCCACCCCACCTGCTTTTGGGCTTTTCTAGCACTTCATTTATTACTTTTTTATATTTCCTCTTCCCACTCTATGTCAGCTTGAGTAATAGTAGGGATTCAATAAATGTTACAAAGGAGCTCACAGAGAGATGCGGGGAACACGAACATCAGATAAATTTCCATTCTGTGACAAGCACTTGCATTAAAAGCACCCCCAAGCTGGGACTGTCCCTATGAATAGCACTCACTTGGCTCCAAGGTTGCCTTTGATGATGGGAGCAGTGACCACACTCTTGCCCTTCATTGGCTGGCTAATCACAGAAAGTGGGACTGTGATCCGAGTAGGAAGTTTCCCCTACAAAGAAAGAGCAATCAGTTTCCATGACATAGCAGGAGGTGAGGAAAACCACCAAGTGTCACCTGGAAAGGACAAGAAGAAAGCAGCAAGCACTACAGATGCTTTTAGTCCCTACCAGAAATTTAGACCTAGGCAGCCTTAAGAGAACAGCTCACCTGCCACTTATGTCAGCTGACCTGGCAGCATCTTCTTTCACACTACCTAAGGATAGCAACCTATCCACTTTCCCTAGAATAAAACCTCTTCCTGGGGCACAAAGGCAAGTATGTGCTCACTATGCACACTCCTAGATTCCGAGCCTACACGTCATGGCGCTCCCA